TATTCTTTTCATATTCGATTATAATTGGTCAATTTCTTACTTCTTAAAGCTTAAATCATCTATTGTGGACCGACACTTACAGTACCAGAGGAAAAAGGAGAAAGACTTTAATCATGGGGGATCGTTTTACCCGTGTAGCTTTCCGCTTTTTATGAAGCTAACTTTGGCTGGAAAGTAATTTCCATCGGCGTACGACTGCGCAAACGAGAAAAAAAAAGATCGTCGGAATTCCATCGGAGGCGCCTCAGCTACTTTTTATTATACAGCTACTTTGGCGACCGTTTGCGGAGTCAAGGGGGTATTGCGCGTGAAAACGCGTTTCCTGAAAAATTGGCTTCATCATATTTATCTCTTCGACTCGTCTTCCCTTTTTTCCGTTGTTTCTGTTAGCGCAATTAGCAATAAAAAATAAAAAAAATTTCAAAGGACACGTAATTATTCTTTGTCAAATTTAGTATCAATTTTTATTGAAAAGAAATATATATCATAATATCAACGATTTTATATTTTTACATAATGCTTACTGAATACGAATTGCCATTTATGAATTAAACTCCAATCAGGCGTACATTAATAACGGAATATTATTTATCACTGCATTTAGCGATTATTTTAACAGAATTTTAGAATTTTATTGAGAAATATTGTGAATATTGAAATTTATTGAAGAATATCAAGGAACTTTGACTACTTTCTTTTCTTGAAGACCTAGTAAGTCCAAAAGCATAACAGTTAATATATTCCTGCTTCTTCTCTCCTATCTTGACGGATTTGTTCGCGAAGACCTATATAAAATATATGAAACCTTGACTATTACAATGTATTTCAATTTTCCGACAAAATCCTATAATTCGCAATCAATGTTGCACGTGCAATATTGAATATTAAATGAAAACATAAATTCTACATTTAATATCAAATAACCGATAACACCGTTCTATGCTTTCGAAAGTGAAGCGATGCGATCGGCATATATCGGTCTTGCAAATTTAATTCTACGCTACTAACGAGGAGATGAATGCTCGCGTTTAATGTTCCACTGTATTTGCATTGGCTTGTATTTCGATGAAATTACTGCCGCGTCCAGTTGCGATACGAATAATTGAATACTGCAAGTAAAAATGTACATAATATATCATGTAAAAAATGTGTAGACGGGTACATTCACGCACCTTATCGTCGTCAAAGGGAATCCTTCAATAATAGAGAATCGGTAAACAATTCGTTTAATCGGCACTGCTAGCAACTAATTAATACGCAACATTCATAGTAAATCTCACTTAAAGGAACAGTTGGTCTAATTAGAAATCCATCTCTCTCTAACATATCTCTCAATTCACATTTCTTTTATATATCTTCCTCGTTTTGCGCGCGTGACCTACTATAGAGATAATACCTCTATCGATTCGTAAAATATATATCCGTAAATACATATCCCATAGCATCATATCTGTCGATTTATAGGTATTTTCCATATTTTTAATATAGTGTACTAGCGATAAAACGGTGATATATTGAATCTATGTATGTAAGAATACATAAATTATCCTTTAGATATTATTATAATATAATTCCTTTAGATATTATTATAATATAAATATTATTGTAAAACAATTTATTTATTTTTAGAATGTATGTTCTGAAAATCATTTTATCAAAAGATGTATAAATTTGATTGTATAAAGATTTAAACTGTTCGATAATGTATCATTTGATTGATTGTTATACAATTATTATTGACAATTATTGTCGATATGTTAAAATCAAGTTGCCTTTACACATCAACGTCTATTAGTATATTAAAAAGAAAAAAGAATATAAATCTCATCAAGAGTGACACAAATATCAAATGTTGTAAGTGTATTTTGCATATATTTACATAATTATTTAAATGATAGTAAAAAATCCAAAATGCTTGTATATTATAAAAGTAAAACGGTTACAACGTTCATTGTTATTTAATTGAGCATTTATTTTGTAAGTAAATATGAGCAGAGTGTTATAAAATTACTATTATTTCTATGATTTGTAAATTTTTTCATGCATCAATAATTTGAGATCGATTATTTTTAAACAGAAATTTTATTAATAATTATTTCGTTTGTATCGTTTTTTTAATATTAAAGTTAAGTGTCTTTTGCGCCTAAGTTTTGAATTAATTTGGTTACCGATGTAAAATCTAGGAGCAATTGAAAATTAAGGTTTTGCTTCTGTCAGGATATACGCTAGAGCCTTAGAAATTAATTTGCG